TGAGAAAAGATGACTTTACCAATAGCGTAAGCAACTTACGCAATACAAGAGAACCTCTCGTAAGAGAACAATGAATATGTGAGCATGCAGACATTGAGTGATGGTGTTAAACACCTGAAGCCTGTCTCTTTAGTTCCTGCACTCTAGCTGTCATCTCAATTTCGTCTTGCTGCCTTCCTCTCCATTGAGTTTGACCTCACTTCAAGAGATTTCAATGCCAGAGTGGGTGAGCTAAAGACTCCCAGCACGTGTCGTTTGGAAACCGAACAGAAGAGCACAAACGCAGGAATTCAGAGCCCAGGCTTACCTCCCAATTACCTGGCCTGGCTTTCTTAAGCTCTTACAATGAGCTCCACAGCTGGAGATCTGTGTACTCGCCCTAATGAGGCAAAGGGAGACAAAAGCAGCTCTCCTGGGAATCATGCAGTCCTTTTATATTTTAGGCAAATGACTCAGGTAATTACAGAGCTTGGGGGAGACTCCATCCTCATTAAACATGAATGAGTAGAATCAGGCCACCGCTGGTATTGTATACAATTTCTAACATCCATTTATCTGGACATTGGTTATGGTTGTTCATTTAAAAAAAAAAAAAAACTACCTTTGAATGGGCTCTTTTTGTTTTACACTTCGTTGTTTATTTAGAGATTCCAATAGGGGGTTTTCACAGCATCAGCGATACCAAAGTAGAACCAATTTGTGTTCTCCAAAGTACCTTTTTAGTGAACCATGTTTTTCTTAGTAAATGTTTTTCCACTGTCAAGAACCTTTCTTGCAATGGAAAGGTTCAGTGGATGTTAAAGTTAAGTCTGTGCTTCCATAAATTACAAAGTACTCGGGACACTGTACAATAAAGTACAATCACACAAATATGTAAAGAACATACCTTACAGAAAATTATTGTGGCAGTACCATAACAGAAGCTAATAATATGGTACTTTGAAATATAAGGAGATATTTCAAATATAAAATATAAAATAAGGCCATGGCACCATGGTATATTTCAATGTTCCACATATTACCGATTTAAATCAAAGTGCCAATGTGTTTTTTAAGGGATTGTACTAAAATCGCTGTGCCATTACATTACTCCAGGGTACTATAGTAGGAGTACCAAATTAAATGACCAAAAAAACCAAAGAATGTAAATTCTATAGTACATGAATATGTTTATCATGATGGTACCATGATGATACTGTACCATGGTGCTGTCACAAAACCTTTTTGTGAGAGTAAAATATAGCGTTCCACCTCTTATCAGCCAAGTTAACGATAACCTGCTAACTACGCAACTCATCCAGCTCAGATAGCTTCCGCAGCTTGTTATGTTGTTTTTCAGACAGACTCTCAGTGGAATTGTGGAGTCTCAGTGTCCAAGGCCTGGGCTACCGTCAAGATTTAAGGGCTTATCACAGCTTCAGGATTTGAGAACAAATGAGCAGCACTCGAATTCAGCAAAACAGTTGCTCATTAGTCGGGCTTATTTAGTATGACTTGCTGAACTTTTTGAGAGTTTAGGATACTGCTTGTATTATAGGGCTATTTTATATTCGTCCAAGTTTTATAACATTTAATCAATTACTCCATATTTTATTTCTCTGCCATATAAAATTGATTGAAAATGGAAATCCATTGGCCACTAGAGGACACTGGAGAGCTGAGAGAGAATTTTAGTTTGCTAATCATGAACCTATATGCATCAAAGCTATACATATTACTGTGATGTTTTCTGTTCCATCAGCACGGCCCCATGTGTAAATCCTCATGAAAGAAAGAATAAAGCAATGTCAAGATGCTTTATCAAAAACTGGTAAAGCAAGCCAAATGCATACTTTCACAGACATATCTTGTCTTTTATTTGGACTGAATTCAATGGACGTGTCTGTGCTGTCACACCAGCGGATGGTTGTAGAAAACCAGTAGCTTTTGTTGTTTTGGCGAGTACGCAGTCTGTGAGCACAAAAAGACTCTTTCATCTCTTTCTGTCCTGTCACGAGCTGTTTGTGTGTGATGCAGTAAACAGAACTGAATAACAGAGTATGTTTTACCTGTGCTCGCTCGCTCCCTCTCAGTTTCTTTACCTCGGCTTTGAGCTCTTGCGGTGTGTCTGTTTTTTCTGTCTGAATCTGTGACTAGAACTGTTGTTGACTTGCAGAGCTTCTAGACCTGGAGTCTGGGCTGTAGACACTGAAATGCTGTGATGTGAGTGAGGAAAAGTGATAACTGTGACAATTAAACACTGTTATACAGAATTCAGCCATAGTAACAAGACTGCAGGTGTTCACTAGGCTATTAAAATCCAGCCTCATAACAATAAGCTCGTAATTAATTTTACAGTATGTTATGACTTAAAACTTGACTTGAAATAAAAATGATATGGTTGTATAGAATTTGAAACCATTCTAAATGCTAAAAAAGCAAATTCATGCATAACAACGTTATCCGTCTTAGTATTCACTGAAGATTGCATTTGAATGTGTTATTAATGTTTGTAATCTAAATATAAAAATGGAAAGAACGAGCACAAACAATTAAATATCTAGTATTAACTGTCAAAATGCTAATATCAGCCAATACATTGTGCATGCCTATGTTCAAACTTTTATGAAATTGATCTGTCTTAAATCAAGAAAAGAAGCAGAGAACACAAAGACATACAGATGTTTCTCCTCAGCTCACAGAGAACTGCTTTACATTCAGTGCTGCGTTCGTGCAAAACATCATTGCTTTTCTGTATGGTAGCCTGTGTAATAATGTTTCAAATGTAGAAAGGGAAAGTGAAAGAGACAAAACTCGATTTTTTTGTATTTTCTGAAGAAAACAGGAGTGCTGCTTATCCATGCAAATGTTGCTGCCAGAATGCTAAGGTGCTCTGGAGGCTTGCAGGGGTGTTGTTATGTGGTTGCTAAGCCCAATTTATCACTTTCAATTCTTTTTTTTTTACTTCCATATTTCCAAGCATTAATTTGAAATATAATTCATTTGTAGCATTAAATGACTCTTTGAAAGGTGTATATGCTGTATTATATAAAATGGTTTGTTTGTAGGACAAGTGTTGTGGGTTGAGCTATGTTCAAGATTTTAATGTTTATGGGGTAACACTTTACTTGAAGGGGTGTGCATGAGACCGACATGACACCTTCATTTCGCTCAATAATGACATTTTGAATGCAAATATAACATTGTTTAAAGGACAACTCCGGCGCAAAATGAACCTTTGGTCTAATTACACATTGTTACCTGGTAAACTGTTATCTGAGATTTGTTTTCATGATTGCCGAATGTAAATAGTTTTATCTCTAAACACAGTTTAGCCTATAACGCTAGTATAATGCTAGTATATAGGGCATAGAGTAATGACAAATAAAAATTGCTTGTTATTACCACTAACAAGGCTCAAAATAGCCCCACACTAACACTACAGCATAATAAGGGTCCCTACATTCAAACCGAAGCATTGAGAACTTTGTCAGTGTCCATACAGTTTAATAAGAAGATATTTTATACACACAGTCAACTTCGCGAATACAGGAAGAAGCCATCTTTGAAAAATAGTCTCTACCAGTCGATCTTCGAACGCTGATACAAGTGTGCTGGTGAGATGTGAATAAGGTGATAAGGTGAGCACGAACATTAGGCTACGTGTGCATGTTGAAGAGAAGAAAACGGTTCGTGTTTGTGTTTCTTCCGAAAACAACGGACCATATGAGATTCTGCACAGTTCAGCGCATCGGCGTTCGTAGATCGACTGGTAGAGACTATTTTTCAAAGATGGCTTCTTCCTGTATTCGCGAAGTTGACTGTGTGTATAAAATATCTTCTTATTAAACTGCATGGACACTGACAAAGTTCTGAATGCTTCGGTTTGAATGTAGAGACCCTTATTATGCTACCGTGTTACTGTGGGGCTATTTTGAGCCTTGTTAGTGGTAATAACAAGCGATTTTAATTTGTCATTACTCTATGCCCTATATACTAGCATTATACTAGCGTTATAGGCTAAACTGTTTTTAGAGATAAAACTATTTACATTCGGCAATCATGAAAACAAATCTCAGATAACGGTTGACTAGGTAGCAATGTGTAATTAGACCAAAGGTTCATTTTGCGCCGGAGTTGTCCTTTAAGATGTCTTTGTTATGATCTTGACATAAACCATAACATCACAACATGTCATTGTCTTTGTCATGGCAACTTGACATAAAATTAAGCTAAACTGTCATGTGGTTGGTTTTAACATTGGCTGTCATGAGGCTAACTGTGTCATGAATATTTTTCGTGACCTGAACTACAGTGGTACTAAATTTGTCATTAAAGAGTTATAATGGCTTCAGGACAGCCAATGTCAAAACCAACCACCTGATAGTTTTATGTGATGTTAACCAATAAAGCTAAGTGGTTTCTTAAGTTTGATAATTAATCTGCTATGTCATGTTTATGACAGGTTGTGTTGTCTTAGTAATGTCAAGTTGTCATGACAAAGACACTGACAGCTTATGATGTATTGACATCTCTAACAATGTCATATTTGCATTAAAAATGACATAACTGAGTGAATGACACTTAATGACAGTTGTCACAAACATGAATAAAACTTCCTTCATATTCATAACATGTCATGTCATGATTATGCAACCCGGTCTCATCCCAAATCGTCATATACACTCAAAAAAATGATTCATTGGATGAACTCAATTAAGTTGTGGGCAGGATTTCCATCCAATAAATATATGTAGTCCCAACTCAAATTGAGTACATCCATTCAACAGAATTTAAATGAGTTAGCCTAACTTATTTTTATCAAATACTTACAACAGTATGTAATTGAGTTCTCCTAACTAAATTTTACCAAATACAGCTGAAATAAAATAATTACATTAACTAAATGAAATTGATTTTCATTTGACCAACTCAAACTTACTTAATTATTGGAAATTATCATCAATTAAACATATAAATCATTTTTCATTTGATACATTAACATACACGTGAGACAAAACTGGTTTTTTATTTTTATTTTATTTTTTATTGAAATACATTTACATTTGAACTTCATTTCCTTAGAACCCCTCCAATCAAAAAATGTTTTTTTTTCCTGTTGGATGTTTGAGTTTCACCATGGTGAATGATGCCAAATAGAATGAACTTGACTCCACAACTCCAACGTCCTCAGGCTCCTGATCCCCATCACTTCCGGTCACATGACTGTGGTTGCTAGGTCCCTTTCTGCATCCTCGGTCGCCAGTGCCTGAACACCACAAACACAGAAAACACAGCAAGTGTTAAATAAAGATGGACATAGAAATAAGGTGACATAAAGTGATGCAGGGCTCCACAGGTGATGGCATCAGACACAAAAATACATATAGAAAAGCATTTGTCCATTATCAACAGCACAACTTCATCCCCAGGCCAACAGAACTCTAAACAATCTCCCCACTCCAAGCACACACACTCACACTCCCCCCTAAATTCAAAAAACATGTACGATCACTTGTCTACAGCAGTACATAAGAACACCTCTGTAGGGCTGCTTAGGGCTGGGCGATTTGGCCTAAAAAATCCCAGATTTTTTCACAAAAATATCCCATTTACGATTTAAAACTATTTTTTTCCTCTCCCTACTTAAAATCAATCTGTAGACGACAAAGAAATTGTTCAAAACAAGTTTTAACTTTATTCCCTTCTGGGATATTATCTGGATTAAAGTGCAATCAGAAACAACAAGCCAAAAAGACAAGAGGGCAGGCCCTGTCATTGTAAATAGTGTAAATATAACATAACATAAAATGGGTGGATTGGGGGGATGTGTAAAAAAAAAAAAAAAAACTCACAATGTTTATTGTGATTGTCAAAGTATTTGGTAACTAAACAATTTTATTAAGTTTATTAACTATGTAACACAATGTTTACATGGTACAAAGACTGGTATGCTATTGTTTTTATTATTGCTTAATACAAATTTCAATTCAATTCTTGTGATTTGATTCGGATATTGATTCAATATCAATTCGTTTGGGTAAATATTAGGTACAGTAGATATCCTACCTTAATGTGTTATGTTAATTGTTCTCCAAAAATAAATCACTTAATGCTATAATACAGAGAGACCCTGTCAGCTGGTATTAGGTTTAAAGGTTAAAACCAACTCAAATTAAATGTGTTTTTATAACAACAAACAACATTATAATATTTGAATGATATAGGTAAAAATATAATAAATGTGTAATATAGTTATCATATTTAGCAAAATACTCCTCTCTATAGTAATTATTTTAAGTCCAACTAACATGCATGTTATGGCTAATTGAAGGGCATTCCTGAGGTAAATGTAACGTTACGTGACATGTTGTTCTCCAGCTGTTTTATGGACATCTTTCCGCGGTTGAAAAACACTGATCGATTGATTTTATTACATTACGGTAAGTTAGTAGTAAAGAGTAACAGATGATCGGTTCACGTACCGCTTGAACTGAGCTCTGCGATCTTTCATGTCATATTTAGTGACAAGTGCCAAAACGGTGTTTATTGTTTGAATTTTGTAATAAAATTGACAGAATCTGATGAGAATAGGCTATGTTTCATATGAATAGTAGCCTAACTTTTCTCTGCGTGAGAAAATGCATGTGTGCATGAGAGCGTGTAAAAAGTGACAATTGCGTCTCTCACAGTGTTCATTTGCCATGTTGTTTGTGTATCTCTATCTTGGCAAGCCCTGAGTCCAGTCAGAACCACAGGAGCTCAGAGGTTGTTAAAGAGAAAACCGATTTTCATTAAAAAAATAAATAAAATCGACGTAAACTACACATTCAAATTAATCGATAAAATCAATTTATCGCCCAGCCCTAGGGTCTGTCAATATAAATAGTGTGTCATGGGAGACGTAAGGGAGTAACAGTTCAACACTACATGACAAACATATTGTGATGAATTTACCAGATATTCTTTGAAGATGGTGTCTGGATCTTCATTGAGGTAGATGATGCATCTCAGGATACACTCCCTCCTGGTGTTGATGTTGTCACGCTGAAGCAGGGGTTAAAAATGAGACACAATTTAGCCAAATGTGGTTGTTCTGGTGACACAGAGAAGGAGCAGGTTGTCTAATTTAGATTAGAGGGTAATTTCAGTCTGAACAGGATGCCTAACCCCTAAATGCCCCCAACAAGCAAGTTGGTAGTTTTCTTGCATGTTTTACATTGGTGTGTGAGTGGATGAACCAAATAATCGGTGTATGTACATGGATATTAATAACTGCCCCTTAAGTTCCCATGAACCTGCCTAAAATGTTGCAAACAACAAATACCTGCTAGCTAATTGCAAACTGCATTCTTTGCACTGCCACATTCATAATCCTAAAAAGGAGAATAAAGACAATTAGCACATATCACATGACAATGATGCAAATAAGTTTGTGCTAGAATTGAGCAAGTAATGCTAGTTTACCTACCATTAATAGGAGGTTGCCGTAAACTGCTTTTCAACTTCAACTGCAAAAGATGAGATGCATATATTAGAGGTGTGAGCAATGGAGCAAATACTCAGGCAATGTAACCAAATAAAAGTAATTATTAATTATAGTCAAACACGTTAATACATTGATTAATATTGTAGGTTGAACTGAAGTAGAGCACCTATTAATATGAATGATTTTTAACATGCAATACAGATACAGATTTAAATACTGTGACTTTAAAAAATCTTTAAATTAAATCAAACCACTTTTCATAAAGTAAAACAGTCTTCCTTTTAATTAATGATATATGCATTATTTAGAACTACTTGCATACATCATTCTTTCAAGCATATTTATTTGTATGAATTAAATATAATTAATCCTTAAAGCTATAACAAACAGTGAATAGTTTTCTTTTTTGTTGCTTGACCACTATTAAGGACACACATCGGATCATGTCCAATGACATGCTGAATTGCACTGACGCACATCCGATACACTCACAACTGTTTTAAGACATAACCGACATAGTTTACGTGAATACTGTCCAAAATGGACATTTAGACATAATGTTGTGTATTATGTCCATTCAGACACGAAAGAGAGCGCAGTTTAAGACTCGCGCGCTGTGTGTGCGCCCAGAAAACCGTAATGATTACGTTAGAGCTCTTCCTCACTCTTCCTCACAGCGTCCTCACTCTTATTCAGATCTAACGTTGTATGTCTGCTCTACTGAAATGTGCGCATCTACCACAGACGCAGGACATCAGTTCTGACTGAATCGCTTCCCAAATAGTCACTATTTGAAATTTTCGTCGTTTTTATTGTCAATAGAAAATGTCAATAGGTTTTCGTCATAGTTTTTGTCATTCAAAACTAGGTTTTATTTAGTTATCGTCTCGTTTTCGTCTGTGAAAAAAAATGTCGTTGACGAAAATAATATAACACTGGCCGCCATTAATGACACATGGCGAAAAAAACGCATAACATTACCCAGTGTCCAACGCGCCCGGTCGGTTGACGGCTTTGCTTTGGACTTTGGACCTTGGCTGCTAACGCTTGTCGCGACCATAATTAGACACACAAACAACAGAAATTCGGCATCTCTCGTCCGAAATTGCGGCGATGAAGAGTAGTGAACACATAATTTAACCAAAGCAGTCAACGTGACTAACCTTAAAGTACAAAAGTAGCACTTAACCACCAAAGTTAACCTTAGCAAGCAACTCCCTTCAGCTTTGAAGAGTGAAATTAGGCTCACTTAACGTTAACTGATGCACACATCTCAGCCTATATTACTGTATTAATGATAATTGACAGTAAGATACTTTCTAATCAACAAATGAATACTTACCAAGTAGTAGATATTCGCCTTTACGTACTCTCGTCCACCCTCTGCCTTGGCGTTGCACTGAGAGAATCAGACGAGATGGGCGAAAAGACCGCGCTGACTCGCACATGCGCAAAGGGCGGTCCCACATGAAACTTTTTTTGGGCGATCCAACGTAAATCAATCTCATAGGTGGAGCTATTAATAAATTTTTAGTTAGACCACTTAAATATATATACATATGATCTTAAATAGATATATTTACATAAATCAAATTGTTTTTAAATGTGTCACCTCTAAGAAGGCCTTGAATCATTTTTTTGAGTGTAACGGACGTTTTGGGACGTCTTTTGACCATACGTCAATATTCGCCTTTTTAGGGCCCCCTTAAACGTCGGTAGATGAGGTTATGGGATCCTAACTCTACCCCATACCTAAACTTAACCCTAAACCTAACCCGTCACCTAACTGACGTTAAAGGTAAAGCGTCAGTTGTATGACGGCCCGGGATCGCCATCTACCGACGTTTAAGGGGGCCCTAAAAAGGCGGATATTGACGTATGGTCAAAATACGTCCCAAAACGTCAGTTATATGACTTTTTGGGATGAGACTGTGTTAGATTATGAAGGTGTCATGTTAGTCTTATGCACACCCCTTCAAGTAAAGTGTTACCGTTTAAGGTTAGGGGTGTCACAATTATGTTCTATTCAGTTCAGTTTATGTTTCAATTCGTCTCTATGTTTTCTAATAAGTCAATTCTTGTCAGATGTATCCGTTTAGTGTCCTCATTTACTGTGTATTTATACTCCCTGTTCTGTTATCCTTTTTCGGTTATTGTTTGTCAGCCGTGCATTTGACAGTTCTCCTTGAGTTTGGTATTAAAGACTTAGAATTCATCATCTTCTTTCTACAGTCACTTTAGCGTGTCAAGGGGTTTTGCGTAAAAAATTATGCGATAGTAAAATTGACGCTTTCTTACCACATGAAGTGTTTTAATACAATCTTTATCTAATTTGATTTGGTCTGCCGGACCCGTAGTAATGTTCTCTTTTCTTATGTTTGTAGATTGTAACCTGTGATTGACGGCCTCAAGGTCTAATTTGTGCGCTTGAAACAAGAAATTATTTGAATACCTTACTTCTAATGTTTCAGCAGCTCTGCGATGCTCTCCCACGCTTTCATTCTGCCCTCCAGACCTTCGGAGTTCAGTTTACTGTGCTGAAATAAAAAAAAAAAAACCCACACACACATTTCAGTGTAAACATCTTATCAAAGCAGAGCCTCATTTCTGCTCTCTCATTACCAGCCTTCTCCATCTGCATTCACTCACTCGGCTCTTGCTGGAATTCAGTCTGGCCTTTACGACTGCAGTGACATTGGCATCAATTAAATTAAAATATGTACAGAGAAAAATGAAATGAGACAGTGTTGTCGTTCAATTAAAACAGTCTTAATAGAAAGAGGCAGGGAGGTGAGAATATAAACTTGAGGGGAAGATAAACTGAGTGAAAAATATGGAGCATTTATATCTTTACTTCATATGTCAAGAGATGAAGAACAAACCTCGTCAAAAAGCGGTGTTGACCTTTACCTCTCTGTTTCATATTTGGATTCATCTTTTTGATGCATATGCTGCAACCATAGCTATCATAACAAAGAGATTGTTAAGTGCTACTCTGCTGAAGAACAGGATTCACACCTTTGAGCTGCTCCATCTGGGTCCTGGCTCATTCCCGCTGCTCTCGGGTCACTTCCTGTCAGGAATCCAGCTGGTGTCACTTCGGAATTAGAGTCACCAGACTCCAAAACCTGTTCAACAGTCTTGATCTTCGGCTGCCGGATCATGGCCCATATCTGGCGACTCCTCGGCCTCCACTGGCTCCGGTCCCTGCCAGGTCAGATTTGACCAGTTCCCAGCTGAGACACAATAGCGTAGGCATGGATTGTAAAGTCTCTCTGGTCCAGCTGGCTCTTCAGAGCCTCAGCTTTAGTATCCAAACTTCCTGTTTGCATGTTTGCGTGTCTGCATGTTTGCGCTGTATACAGACTTAGTGAAAATGAAAATGGCCATTGCTCCAGTGTTGTTTTAGACACCATTTTCTTGTATGTTTTTATGGACACAACAGCTGAAACATTTTTATTTTAATTTTTATTTTAAAATAACTTCTTTTTTTGTTCCACAGAAAAAACGCTTTCTCATCCCAAGGCGTCATATACTGACATATACTGTATACATCCAACGCACACGGCACCCTGTAGCATCAATATAACACTATTCGTTTATGGGTAGGTTTAGGTCTGGGGTAGGGTTAGGGTTAGAGCACTAGGAGGCGCTTTCTGCCACAAATATATCTGTGTCTCATATTGACGCTAAAGGGTGCCATGTGCGTTGGATGTCTACGCGACTATTCCTTTTCTTCCTTCTGGGCCTGAGACGAGAGTTCAAGAGATTTCTACGACGCATGCGTGAGAATTGCTTTCTTATCTATGCTTATTCTTCTACTTCTTGCGCAATTCTTGCACATTCATTGTGGAAATCTCTTTAAAATCTTGTCTCAGGCCCAGAAGGAAGAAAAGGAATAGTTGATTTTCGTTTTATTTCCGCACAAAAAAGTATTCCCGTCGCTTGATAAACTTATAGTTGAGCCACATGGAATATTTAAACATTTTCTTCAATGACTTTCAAGTTTCAATCCCTTAGGAGCCTATGTAGCAGTGATCCACCTCTCAAATTTAATCATAAATATCTTCATTTGTGTTCCTTGTGGGATTGGTATAGCATGGGGGTGAGTAATTAGTGACTTAATCTTCATTTCTGGGTGAACTAACCTTTTAATTGGGCTGGAATTGGACTATATTAATGGGAAAGTCGCTATAGAAGGCATTTATTTAAGTTTCCATTTGAATCTAAAGTGTGAACAGAAGAAACATTTTAAAACGTCATTTTTGATATGAAAAGGTCTTCCATTTTGGTATAATATTGAAATAAATGTCCCCAGGAATCGTTTGAACAGTGTGTTTGAGAATAAGATCATTTTATAATAACAAATTTCACTCTGTTCAACCAACCTATTAGTTTCAGTTTCTCTGTGGGGAAAAAAACAAACATGTTTTTGTTCTCAGCCATCTGTGCATTGTGGCAATACCTTATCTTCCACCTGCAAGCTTCCCAAAAAGGCATATGTGAGTACAACAGCGAGATTTATCAGAAAATAAATGCTGTGTTAGACTGTTTCCACAATCAAATTCAGTAACATGATCGCATGGTTGTGAAATTGAATAGCATAGGTGAGTAGGCTTTTTTTATAGACACTATAGTTCTGCAGCAGAGAAATGGTCCAGAACATGCAAAACTTTCCAGGCCTTCCATGCAAAATAACTTAGGCAAACAAACTCTACGATCATAGAAATATTGTGTCTATGACTTTGTGGAATATAGCTGCATGTAAATTGATGCTGCATTTGCATTAGTCGAGGCTGTTCAAACAAATCACATACATAATTAGAAACACTGATATCAGTGTGAGGGATGAACATTTGGCTTGATGTATTTACCGAACAGGACTCAGGAAATTTGAGACATTTATTTATTTTTTCCTAACATGATGAAACGCAAGTGCCAGTGACAGTTGTTAAAATAGAAAATTAAATAAGGATATGAAGCGTTGAAAGTTTGAGAACCCTTCAAAATGATCTGTGTTAGGTTACGCAATGAGAGTTGATTGTCGTCCGTGTCCTGACAAGAGGCTATGAGTGAAGAAATAGCACAAAAATAAAACATGCTTTCATCTATATTCATCTGTCCAATATTCATGTTTTTTGTTGGATAAAAGACTGGAAAGTTTTCTGGTTTTCTACAAAATCTGTGTTCTCATGATAATTGTGAACCAACTGAGTCCAGAGGTCTTAAAATGCATTCTTTATATTGAGATGGGATTCTTTTGAGGTTTGCACTAAAAGTGCTTCACTTTTGTGTCCGCAGTATTCTTGCAGAAGTCGCTGGTTTTGGCAAACTTCAAATGATTTTCTCAGAGGGAAGGATTTCCATCTTCATAATCTCATTGTAACACCAGTCATGTTTAGTGCATTGCTGATGATTTATTCATGAACGCTGACGTTAACCACTGTAAAGACACCACATCCTGAGCTGTCGCCCTAAGGTTCTTCACGATTGCCTCAATTTTTGAAACCTTCCCTCTGGCATGAGACAACAAATTAACGAAATGGTAACATTCGATTAATTAGATCTTCTTTCATATTTTCTATTTTCCATAACTCGATGATGCAAAACACTTTGGTATACTTTAGTAAATCACATTAAGAAATAAATGTTTTTCTCCAAAACACGTAGGCCATAATTATTGGCACCCTTTTATTTCATACTTTTTGCGACCTCATTTTGCCAAGATAAAACCTTTTGAGTTTTCTCCTATGAGTTTAGAGAACATTCCTCCATACAGAATCTGCTCAGATCCATGTTGGTGCTTCTTCTCTTCAGTTTACTCCACTCATTTTCAACGGTCATGGCAGATGTGTCATTTTGTGCTCAGTGACAGATTTTTGTTTTGAATCGTTGGCTGATGGAAGATCCAACCAAGGCCCAATTATAAGATTTCCTGCAGAAGCCATCAGGTTTTGATTTTTTATCTTTTTTATTGAATCCATATACTTTAAAACCCAACTTTGGGTCAAATATGGACAAACCCAGCCATTGGGTTCAATTTTTTAATTACATTTTTAACCCAATGTTTGGGTTTGTCCGTATTTGACCCAAAGTTGGGTTAAAGCAACCCAGCATTTTTAGAGTGTAATACCATGTATCTAAACAAGATGTCCAAAGAAAAAAAAAAAAAAAAAACAGGCACACAACATTAAATATGCAGCAGCATTTTTAACCTCAGGCATGGGGTACTTTTCTATATATGGCGTTACCTCAGCCAGTCCTTCTGGAATTAGCTGCTGGCTCTGATGTCTAGTGGTTAAACATGAGATTTAATTCGTCTCTAACAGTCAATCTTTGGTCATATTAATCTATTATTTATTCCAGAGCAAATAGATTTTGCCGTCGACCTGTTGTATAAACGCAATAT